TAAATGTGTATGTTTATTTACATACAAAAAAAATAAATAGTTCGCCCAGTTTGATATTTTTCCCTGAAATTGATCTTAAAATTCTCCGTAGCCGTGACTCTTTCCTTTAATATCGTTGTTCTTCTCACATAGCCGAGAAATTTGAACTGAACAATGATTGTGCCCCTACGGGTTGCAATGGTGAAGCCAACTTTTGGCGGGTCAGCCAAATTATTGCCGCGGGTCATAGGTTGCCGACCACTGCTGTATATAGTCATCAAATATGTGGAACTGAGAAACTAAATCAGTATTTTAGATATTAATTATTAGCAAATTCAAGCTAGCAAGAAGAGTATTAGTGCACTTGATGAACTACTTTCGGCATGACACAAGGGCTGCCATGTTGATCAGAGGTTGTCAAAGTTCAGTGTCTTAGCAAAACTGTTTTATTGATACAAAAACAGCACAATTCCGTTAATACAACTTAACTTTTACTGTCCAATTTTGCAAACAAAGAATTGAAATAAGACATCAATCCACTAATATCTGCCATTGACTGTTTGGCAGGGGCTGTTGGGTAACCTTGTGCAATTTACAAATGTGAAGAACTGGTATCGATACTCTTGGTTGGTACAGCATGGATAGCCCCTTGTGTGGCATTGTTCTTAAGTACAAACTTTGTAAAGCTCTTGTGTACAACTTATCAGACGATTCTGTGTATTGTATTGTATTGCAGTATCTTGAGACTTATGTAAACTAGAAATAAAAAAAATAGCATAATATTCTTGCATTCCTTCTTTATGAAAATCTCAAGAATATTATTACATTTTCTATTTCTACTTGTCAGACAGTTATACTTCCCCAAATATAATCACTTGCGTGACAATATTATTATTTTACATTACCATAAGGCTTAAGAAAATTAGGTTTTTAAGGTTAGTAGCATTTAAAAAAGGGTGTTTTGTCTTTCTAAAAAAGTGTAAAGTTATAAAATATTCAAACAAGTACAGTTATTATGGTGTGAACACCTTTTCCAAACTGGCAAAGCATGATTATAAGTAATTATACTTGTCATAATACATTGGTATTAGGCCTACTAGAATTTTAAACACTACATTCTATATCTAGTCCCTTAGGGATTTTCAAGAATTAGAAGAGCGTAGAATAATAGTTTTCCAACCACACTGTGTTCACCATATCTGATTCTGATGATATGTTTTGCTCAATCCAGAGCTCATCGGGCGGTTTGAGTCTGTACTCAAAATATCCTTATATCCTGCAAGCTGTATCTATATTTGATTTTCTTTATCTTGCAGGCTGTATCTGTACTTAGTCAGAATCTACGAGATGTTGATGTAGCCAGTAATAACATATCTGAGGTTCTCCGTCTTTACTTTACTGCTTCCGATAAAACAAGCAAGGTAAAATACTGAAAATTAAGATATACAAATTGTACTATCTAAATATAATCGTTACTTTATTACTAAACAAAAATATTATTATAGTCTAGATATTTTTCAATATTTAAACTTACACTTTCTGTGTTTGATATGGTGTTTCATTAATTAAAACCACACTAATGTTACTATATAAAACACTGTTTGTTGAACACATAAAAATGCACTAATGTTAGCTGTGTTCTTGGAATCAGAATGTAGTGAACAAGTATTAAAAATAATGGGAACTTGTCAATCTAAACTATAAAAGATATCTTGTGATAAAATTCATTTGATCATTTATGTATATCAGTGTTTCCCAACCTGGGGGTCCTCGTAGGTAATACCATCTCATTAAACAAGTAAGTTTTTTAATACTGATGTTCTTTTTAATTACACACTCAGTTATATATATGTCTTTTATTTGATAGTGAAAAGTGGGAGAACGAGAAAATTATTAGTTAATAAAAACAGTTTGTTGGGTAGGCGGAATATTTCAAAAACATGGGTTCCGTGGGGGAAAAAATGATAATAAAAGTGGTCCTTGGTGGAGCAAAGGTTGGGAACCACTGATGTATATGATTGCTCGGTTAAATGTTATTGAGTTATGTGATTTCTCAGTTTGAGTTATATGATTGATCAGTTGGTTATTTATTTGTATGATTGATCTTGTTGATTATTTATGTATATGGCTACTCAGTTAAGTATTATTGAGATATGTGATTTCTCAGTTTGAGTTATATGATTGATCAGTTGGTTATTTATTTGTATGATTGATCTTGTTGATTATTTATGTATATGCCTACTCAGTTAAATATTATTGAGATATGTGATTTCTCAGTTTGAGTTATATGATTGATCTTGTTGATTATTTATGTATATGACTACTCAGTTAAATATTATTGAGATATGTGATTTCTCAGTTTGAGTTATATGATTGATCTTGTTGATTATTTATGTATATGCCTACTCAGTTAAATATTATTGAGATATGTGATTTCTCAGTGGATAATTGAGTTATATGAATGATCTGTTGATTATATAGTTATATAATTGTTCATTTGGTTATTGATTTATATTATTAATCAGTTAATTATAAGAATAATTTTTTTTCTGTTCGTAGATGTGCAAATGGTTACTAGAAAAACCTTTTTTATCCTTGAACCCCACACAGAAGTCAGAAATTATGACATGTTTGTGTAATGACTTGTTGTGTAGTAGAGCTATTTTAAGGTAAGATTTAGAAATGATAATTGTTTTTATGGGTAATTAAGCTTCCTTTAGTGTTCATTTGCAAACTTTTTCAACTAAATTTTATTTTAAAAGATTCATAAACACCACTGAGTTTATATACTGTTGAAAAAAAGTTAAACCTGTTGGTATCATTTTAGAAATTCTTTTATTTCAATTACAGTTTTGACAACGTGAAATATGAATGTATTTAACCTTATATTATAATGTATAAATCACAAACATTATAATGTTTTTCTAACATAAAATACATATAAATTAAGACCAGATATTGTTCATAATTTCACACAGTATTTTAGTCACAGCTGAAATAAGTTGTATTCTTTTTTTTTATTTTTTGCATTTATAAGAAATTTTATAGCTTCTAATTTCAGTAAAACGTGATACTTTAATTTAACGAGGTGAAGTAATGGTCTAAGCAATACACTTTGTCTGTAACTTAAGTATAATATCTGGTTCGAAGAAGCAGAAAAAAGTGCTTTACATCAATTAATATCTTTTCTTATAATGCTATCATCTCCTAATGGAACACTGTTTGCAGACAGCAGGGGAAAAATTTGTTTGTTAGATGATACTGAATTTTAATTTTAAGCTATTAAAGGTAATTTTAAAATGCAGAAAAAAGATAATATGCAAACTCTCTAATAACGTAGATAACTTATATACATCAGTAACTGTTTAGACAGAATAATATACAAAAATATATAAACTGTAGGATTTTACAGGCAAATCATCAAGAGCTGCATTTCCTAGTTCCTGCCCTTGTATTTTAGCCCAGCATCTTTACTGATGCATGTAGATTTCTTGATATTAATGTGTAATTACTTTATCCATTCTGTTTGAAAGCATGTAATTTTGAATTTTGTAATTATTTTTGTAACTACAATATTTATGGATAAAAAGTATCGAAGCAGCCCCTTTTTCAGTAGTTTTAATTCATCATGTTTACAGTTCAACTCGGCCAAGGATAGAGCCTTGAGAAAAATTAATAAAATATTTATAAAGTGAGTTCTTCTTTTGCTTTTTGAATAATATAAAACGAAGTGGTAGCATAAAGGTTAAACTGTATCATAGTCATTGGGTAGCTGTTTCCTTCGTCATTTTTAAGTTACTCTTAAGATATTTTCTGTAAGGCTACTTTTGTAGTTGAAATGTCAGAATGAGTATATGTATTTTCTGTATATAGAGACAATGATAATTCTTTTGTTTCAGGCAAATTGATTCAAACATTGATACTGTAAATAACTTGCGTCGAGATAAATGGATTGTTGAAGGAAAACTGAGGAAGTAAGTCTATCATTACGTACACGATTTATAATTTTGTGGTTTGTGTCTGTGTATTCACGTAGATCAAAATACTCACTGTTGTCCATTAATTCTTAACATTTTTCCTGCTAATGTTCCCATGTTGGAACATGGCATATTTTGGCTACCAGGTGCTTTTCTTTTATGTTTTGAAATTAGCTATTGGTATCAGTTAAATATCTAAAAGTAATGTTTTATAACCTAAGTCTTTTATCAAAATTACTTAATTTCTGTAAAGGTTATGATTCTACAAAAAAAAATGTCAAGAGGTTTACAGCACAAAACTCACATAACAAATACCAACTACTAACCAAGCACTACCCATGTCCTCCAGTGCCTGGTTATTAAAAATATGTGATTGTTCGTATCTGAGCCAACCAATTACAGGAGACCCTTGTATCAGAATAACGTAACTCAAGCAGTGAGCAGCTTTCATCACTTATATAAGCTCACAAGTAACAGCATAATTATCTTTAGTGACAAGGTAAAATACCAAATGAATAAAGCAGTTTCATCCTTGATAACAAGCACAAGTTCCCAACGTACTAATATGGGAACACTAACGTTTACTAGAGTTTGTTTTCTCACCCAAGTTAGCTTGTTACACGTTTTTAACATCAATAGGAAATACACTGAATCTCGCTTTCTAATTAATGCATAAAGTTTCCTAAATGTATTTTACTTTAAATTATGAAAAGGCTATATACACAGCCATTTTGATAACTATTTGCACTGATGTTCCATTTTGGGAACATATTAACCGCCTCGATCCTCTTGTTTTGAAAGGGCATACAAATTAACATATATGATATTTGGGTACAAATACCAAAAATATGTAAAAATAAGTGTGGTTTCTCGGAGGAAGAAGGTTAAAGTAGAGAGAATTCTTAAAAAACTGTAGGGTAAAAAAAAACATTAGTCTCAAATTTAAGAGATGAAATGTAAAACAGTATTATTTAGGCAAATTATTATAATGATTGTAACCATAGTATGTACTTGTTTAAATCACTATGAAGTTTCATCACTTCATCTTAACTCTCCCAACATGGGGTCGGTCAATTTGACCGAGTCACGTGACCTTTTGTACTCATTTAAAGTTGATATAAGTTTAATACTTATAATTTTCTATATATTGGATATCTCTTCATGAAATTTGGCTGTCTTTCAGTTAATATTACAAGTCTTTCACATACAAAAAGTCATATTTCTTAGTGAAGTATTTTTAATAAAATAAGGTTTTGTCCATGAATGTATTGAGTATTTGTTTTGAATAGTCCGTGTGCAAAGTAATTTTCATGTTGAAATTAAAAATACTTTCTGTCATTTCAAAAATCTCAAATTTTCTTTGTGTAATCCCTAAAACCTCCTAAATGCATTTCAAACGTTTTTTTTTTCACTAAATCCTCATAGTTTATATCTTATTTTCTCTACCCTATCTCAAAACAGGATCGGTCAATTCAACCGACCCCATAACCACCAAAAAAAAATGAAATAAACCTAAATTAACCTTCTTTTCTTTCTAGAATGACTTCAAATTGTAACCTGAAACTACATTTGTTTAACTACACAACATTATGCATCTATTTATAATTAAATTTTATTGTTTTATTGCCATTTGAACTGTGTCTAACTGCTATCCCCACCATTATAAGA